ATTAAATATTCGCGAGTTCCCAAGCGGTAACGCGTACATTTTTATCGCCGGAAGATCCGTCCGGCCGTTTGAATGTTTCAGAGCTACGCCGTGTCACTGAAGTTGATTAGCCATTTTGCTCGGTAATCAGAGAATTACGAGAAATTGCGTTATAAATGTAGATTAAAGCGCATAAAGGTTATGTAATTGATGCAAATAAGCGAGCGCATTCCGCGCGCTTCGAAATTAAATCTTGCGTAAAATTTAGAATAACAGAGAGAAAGGAAACGATTAAGATCCGGGTCACGCCTCGTAAATCTCCTGTTTTCCGTGCGCCCTACGCCTCCTTTTAATAAAGGATTCTCATTTATACGAATAATATGCGCGGTTAACTTTGCGCTACACCATAATATGTGATTATTAAATACCTGACTACAGTCTAAGTACGTGCGATACTCCCGCGCAGCAGTTGAAGTCGTAAAATTAGTACAGGGAGACGATTGCCCTCTCACTTATACTGTCGCGATTTTCGCGCGTTAATCGAGTATCGTAATATCGAGATTAAAATCACCAGCGGCGCGAAAATACGTCCCGACAGCGTTCGCATTTAAGCAACGGGACGTATCGCAGTAATGGTTTTTGTTAGTTTTTTGCTACTCGCAACTCGGTCCATCGATTATTTCAGCCGCTCTTCACAAGCCAACCCTACTCTTCTCGAATCTTCACGTGCAAAGCGTGGCATTTCAGCGACAAACACGAGCGATTGAATGTCAATATCGTAAAGCAAAGTACGCGAAGGATCGTTCGCTCCTGCAGTGGTGTCCACTGAAAAATCAAACGCAATATCGCACTGTGCACTCGGGCGCGCAGTTAATTGTTCTTAAAAGTATTTCGAGCGGAATTCATGAAATTCAGGGAAGAACATTAAATCTAATGTAAAGTACGCTCTCGTCCCGTTCGCTTATGCAAATTTGGATTGTCCTGTGGAAATGTACTCGCATAAACGTTAATACAATTGTTCGTGATAAGAACGGCATTTAGACAGACAGGCAGAGAGAGAGAGAGAGAGAGAGAGAGAGAGAGAGAGAAAGAGAGAATGACATTATTGCATTATTAAGGTTTCTGTCGTTCCGCGGAAACACACAGACATGGAAATTAACGAAATTGCCTACGATGTTTGCTACTTCTGGCGATCTCGACTGTTAACGCATGATTTTCCAGTCGAACTTAATAAAGCCGAGCTCTCTGTTGCTCATCCCTTCGCGGCTTATCTACCTCATTCCGGTATAGTACGACTGAACGACTTCAGAACGAAGTGATAGTCCGGAATCCGTGTCAAGGGTTAATCCTCATCTGTATTGTTGCGATGCATATTCATCTCACGACCGTCTCGTTCAGACAGGCTGGTGATATTTTCGGCGTTGGATAAAACTTCGCGCGAGTCGAGACTCGGTCGTAATAGAACTACGCAATTTTGGCCATTAGCTTTTTTAGTCGTAGCATCACACTCCGCGACGATATCGTTTCCCTTTGAATGTTAATGCGCTCTCTGTCTCTTCGATCCGACTTTCGCAACTTTAACAGGCTCCAAAACGCCAAATCGGATCCGGTGTGCCGCACATCTGCTACGGTATATGGAAACCGCACGCCAGGGAGGAGCAGACGAAAATCCGCGGAACGAAAATCGAGTTTCGGTACGAAAGTTAGACGCAAACTTCGCCTTTCCGCAAAAGAGTTTGCATTCATTGAAAGTTGCTCGTCGTATCAATAGGCGATACGTACGCATCTCCGTTTAACCTTTTATAAAGTGAGAAATCGAGGACAGTTTTCGTTGAGAGTAATAAATGCGAAATAATATTTCGGGACAGAATGCATAGAACACGGATCCCTTCAGTCCTCTTTCTCTCACGTTATTTCTCTCTGTGAGACAATTTTTACTTCTCCTTACGTCTAAATATACGAGGGACGTATCTGAAATTAGCTAATGAAATGCAAATCGCAATATTATCATATCGCTTTCGCCAGCATACGATAACGGTCTTAAGCGGATCTATTTTTAAAGTCCAGCTCTGTTTGAAGGAAAGAAAAAGAGGGGAAAAGAAAGAGAGAGAGAGAGAGAGAGTACGTTATCTGTGAAATGTTACGATAAATCATTGTTGGAATACGACGCTCTTTGCACAAATGCATGTTACTAAAGTACCTTTTTACACTGATACGTATGAATCTGTTCGCCGACAAAATCTTTGGTACAATTAGTAGTCGTCGTGACTACTATCTCGGAAAATTAACTTTATTGTCATCACGGACGCCTGCATATAGAAAAATTTTATTCTACAGCTAAAAAATCAATTTCTCAGATAACTTTTCTCCTTTTAAGTAATTGTTATATTCAACAAAAAATATTTTCTTTATAATAGTCGTAACTCTAGAATTTGAACATGTATATTTACTCAGGCTAATTTTTTAAACATTATTGCTCTTAAAACTCTGTGTTTTGTTTTTTCATAATATTTTTCAACTTCATTAAATCGTAAAATATTAACAGATTTATATTCCTTGTTTTTTGTACTGATGTAAAAAAAAATTAAATTTCGATCTTTTCTCTGAAAGTTATAAACAAATGAAAATACGTTGGATAAAATTTACCCATGTCCAAAGTTTACGTAACTTTTTAGGCGTTTCTAAGATTACGATATACTTTTTACAAATTTAATACACATTAGAATACACTCATTATCATACACTCAATAAAAAAAATTGATTCTTTTTAGAAAAATATTACAAAATTCTATCGAAGAGGTTAATTCGATTCTATGTAGTAACCAAACAAAATTTTTGTTTCAATTAAATTTTCCTTGCATGTAAACTATGTTATTATTCTCTTTATAAACTATGTCATCCTTTCCGTTTCCATTTTTTTAAAGTGAATCAGTATAAATGCTTCTTAAATATCCCAGTAACATGGTGATGTTAAGGTTATTGTTGTTTTTTATTGTTGTTGCTTTTATTGTTTTTCTTATTACTATCGTTAAGTTGGGTTTGATTGAATTAGGTTTGGGCTTCTGCCTTTTATTAAGGTGGCTTACTGTTTTGCTGTTTGTATTACTTTTTGTATTTGTTTTTGTTTTCGCTGTTATCTTTATTATTGCATTTGTTAGCTTTAATGAGCTTGGTCGCTTCTATTATTGTTTCTCTTGTTACTTTGTTGGTATTTTCTTGTTATTGTTAAGTTGGTTTTTATTATTGTTATTGTTTTGGTTGGTTTTTGTTGGATTGTTGGGTTTGGTTGTTTGGATTTTGTTTGGTTTGGTTAGGTTGGGTTTTATTGTTTTTGGTTATAAGGTTATAAGGTTGGTTGGGTTTGGTTTGGTTAGGTTTTGGTTTGGTTGGGTTGGGTTATTGTTTTTTGTTGTTATTTTCCTTACTTTATTACGGTTGTTGTTTTTATTGTTGTTGTTTTTGCATGTTTTTTTTAGTTGGGTTTTTGTTATTTTTGTTGTTTTGTTTTTTATGGTCGTGTATTTCATTGTTGTTTTTCTTATTTTTATTTTTCTTATTTTTGTTACTTATTGCTGTTTTTTTATTTTTATTGCTGTTATTGTTTTTGTCATTTTTGTTGTTATTATTATTATTTCATCTTGCTACTTGGAATGCCTTATCATTTTCATATTTTTTTAAAACTAAAAATGAAAAAGCAGCACAGTTAATAAGCCAAACTTCAACATGTCTATATAAAAACGCGCTGGAGCTTGGTAATGTAAACGGTAAGTTTCGGAGAGAACAAAAGAAACTCGCAGGGGAGAGTGTCTTAGATGGTACGGTCAATGTCATTCCATCAAAGCTAAAAAAGCTATGCCGTCACCGAAGTAGTTACACCGATAAGCAAGAGTAGACTTGGCGTAGCACGGTCTCGTTAAAGAATTACTGCGTCGTAAAGGGACGCACCACGATCCTAGACAGCCGAGAAAGGTTACGACACTCACACACCGGGTCCAAGGGTTCGTCATTGGACCATCGGCTCTTTCTTCGAGATTTAAGTAAGGGTCGATGGCTAGGCCTTCGCAACGATACTTAGGATACTTAGGATAACACACCGCGAAAAGCGACACGAAAAATTTTGCTTCTGGAGGCACATCAGTGAGATCTCCCGACAAAGAAGAACCCAGTGAATTAGACTAAAATAAGAAAACCGCTGCGAGAAACAAAAAATAATGTTCCTCTTTTAATTTTTCTTCGTGATTAATTAACGGCAAAGACGGAGGCTTTTTTATCCAACGGTCAGATAATTTGCAATATCATTGTTTTAATTTATTATACAATTCTTCTGTTTACACAAAAAGTCCTTTGAAGAGAAAAAGCTATTATTGTAAAATGAAACGTATCATTTTTTCTCCTTTCATTTTCTAAAAATGTATGCAGTTTTATCTATGTTGACAAACTCGATTACACACACACACATATAAAATATAATGTCTGTCTGTCTGTCTGTCTGTCTATATATTCCTTGTACATACCTAAACTCTTTGACCGATCTGGATCAAATTTTGCATAGTTACTCTCTAGGACCTTGTGAGAAATATAGACTACATGAAACCTGGACATTTCACCTCCTCCTCTTAATTTCATTCTCTTGACATTTCGCGATAATCTGGACAACGCCGAATAGTTTTAGTTAGTTTTAAATGAATGTCATGTATACTAGATGATGTCGGATCGCACGGAAGAGAAAAGTGAAGATAAATCAGTGTCACAATTTATAGTTTAATTATTAACATAAAAAAAAAATGAAGGCGAATAGGAGAGCACGCGAGAAGATTGACACGTTGCTCGAAAGTTACTCCGTGTTAGATGAACATTAAGCAGTCAAGGTTAAAAGTTAGCGTTTATATTACCTCTCAACCAATATCGGTGTGATTTCGTGTCAACACAGGGTTATCGTTACGAACTAATTCAGCGAGGGAGACATTTTCTGTGCAATTGCGCCAAGTTTTACGTTTCCGTGTATTCGAGGCTTTGCTTACCCTCTAGTGAAATTTCGTCCTTTTAATATCGTTGTCCTCGTCGCTGTCTTCGTCGTAGCACTACGTCGTCTTCACGGTATGAATGGATGCTTCGTAGCGGTTACGCGCGCAAGCGATCGACGCTTTTTGTCTCGAGAGAAAAATCTCGAATAAAATTTTCCGCGGAAGGATTCTTGGGACGAGCATTGTCAAATGTAGCGAAAGAAGCCACGGGGGACCCGGGATATATTGCTTTAGTAGTGCTGCTACGCGCAAATTGGAATTAATTGAATCTCTCTGGCGGACATGATGCGGAAATTACTACGCCCGGCTGTGACAGCGAGCTGAAGTGTCTCGAAAATCACGGAATTACATCATCACACGTATGGACAGTTCGACGCGGCCGTTTACGATCTCGCTTTTACCCCTCGCGAACAGTTCTCATTTGCAATTCGTGTAACAGCCCTCGCGACGGGAAAGCATAGCCCAATCGGTTTATTTCCGCACCAGCAGCACGCATCACCAACCATACATCGTAATTTGAGAAGCACTTGGAGCTGTTCGCAAAACGTTTGTCTGCGAAAATTCCTCGCAGAATCGGGGGTGTCACGGCAAAGCGACCGTTCGCGTCGATATTCCGTCGCTTTGAAGTCTCCACGATCGGAAGCGATATGCAGATTCCCTACATAGTAATAGGCCTCCGGAGTTTCCACGGCCGTTCGAAATAAAGAAGCACTTCGAGGGTGGTGAATTTTAAAATCGCGCCCGTTGGAGTCGCTCCCTTCCGCGTTTCCTTACTTCTCGTCGAACCCGCGGCGACACACCAACGCGTAATAAGCCTCAATCAAATACTCCCTTTTCGTGGCCTCCAGCTTTTACCGAAGGGCGACGCGATTCTCGGACACGATACGAGATAGGATCCAACCGAATGTAGCTACGCGCGTATACTGAAGGAACTTGCGGCGCGAGGGCGCCGGCTTGAACTAAACCAACCCCTCTTCCCAGCATCCCACGCGGCGCGCGTTCTCTTATCGTGCATTCGGGATGATGGGACTTTCGACCGATAATACCACGAATTGTTGAAGGAAAGAACGCGACAACCGGCAGTTGATTGACAGATAAACTTTGCTTTCACTGATTAGCGCACTGGTTTAATTGAACCTGGCGACTTTGATTCTTTATATTATCCCAAAGAGAGAATAGGCCGAGGAAAAGAGATCTTATTTTTTACATCTGCCAGTATTGTCGCAATTAGCTTTGGCGATAAAGTATATTGTAATACGAAAGCCTTTCCGTCTGTCTGTCTATCTGTCTCTCTCTCTCTTTCTTTCTCAGCTTTTCGGGCTTCTATTAATTTATAAATTTATGCTTATATGCGTAGACATATATTTATATTATTTAAAAAAAGGTTTTGTTTCTTCTTCTTTCTTTCTTTTTTTCTCAAAAATTTTAAAAAATTCTGTTTTTTAGTTTTAGTTGAACTTTGTTATATTATTACATTTCTTTTATTTGTTATCTCCATTACTTTATTGTATTACTTGATTTATTATACTATACAGATTTTGTACTATATAAAAGATAATTTCAACTAAATTTCTTATTATCTAATAAGAATAGGGGACAGATGAAATATTCGGTTGTAAGGAAGGTTCCTGTAAGAGATTTCTAATAAGTCAGCTGTTCTCCGTTATTGCAATCAACAGAATTCTTTCATCTGAAGCGTCTTCTGAAGTCTATTTAAAATATACTTATGAAGAAATTGATTTTGCTCAAAGGGTATCGACGCTTGAGTCTTAAAGATTTATTGAATGTTCAAACAAACGTTTTCGATTGCGGAAACAGAGATATCATTTTACATCGTCAAATTTCTATTTGGTCCTTATTTGGACGGATATCTTTTCCGCGTGAGAATGTAGTTATAACGTCTTTAGAGAAAATAATCTATAAGACAATAATAAAAGTATCCATCTATCTGTCCCAATATATAGAGTGCTTAAAAAACATTTACATAGAGAAAAATTATGTTATTTATATGGAAATTTTGTTTAAAAAAATGTTAACTCCTGCATAAAAAAAAATTACTTCTATGTAAGTATTAGTACTTTTTTGAAACACCCTATACACCGATACTGTATTGTGACACGTTCCTGCAGCTCGTTTGCGCGTACATAATTTAATATGGATTCTTGATAAACGAGAAGTAATTTAAACGCGCTTCATTTTTTTCTACCGTCGACTAATTAAAATTTAATCATCGGTGCACGGGCGCGACGGTGATTACTCTTTTTTCTTGCTATCTTTTTCTCTGTGCGCGATGCGTCACGAGACTCATTGAATTTTTTTATTATAACGTCGAGCTAGACATAATAGCATAATGCGCGCTCGTAGAAAGAGAGGAAAGATCACTGACTTGTCGGGAGGTGAAAATTCTAAGAGCTAAAAGCTAAGTTGCGTTACCGCGGTCGGAACGAGCTCAAGGACGTTTTTAAAATAATTTATGCGCTACGTTTCGAGTACATTTCAATGGTGGTAATGCGCTATAGTGAAAATTGATACTCTCAACATGTTGCAAAATAAAAGTAGCAATGAAATATTTTTAAAAATATATCCAAACCAAAATTTATATGCGCATTTCCTTTTTTCTTTCTTTTAAATGCATTAGTGGTTCACTTATAATATTGCATAAAACATTTCGTAAGCGAAGTTATATTGCCGCCTAAGAAATTCTACCTTCGAGTGAGGAAAGCGATTTGTGGAAATCGGCGTGATGACGATACGTCATTCGTCAAAATGTCCAAACTCGAAGAACTCGAAGCCGCAGAATAAATTTTTTATCGTCGAAACTTCTTAATATAAATGGTTCTGATTTCACATTAAAGATGAGGATGGTATTGACATGTCTGAAAAAGCTCGATTGAATATTTTATTACGAGGCGTTTGGTCTAGACGTTATCGAATCCTATGGCGAGTGGCATTTTAATAAACCGTTTGAGGTGAGGTAGAGTTGTCCTCAATGCTGTATAGTAATTGGCATTCTGAAAAAAGAGGACGCAATAGCTAAACCTGTGTTCATCTAAGATGATCGATAAAATATTATCCGCGAGAATTATGACGTAATTCTTGCAGTTAAAAATAAATTCACGATTGCTGTGCGACGACAGTCTATTGAAATAATCAACTGTTGCTTGTTATAGCTGATGTATTGGATAAGATGTAATTTTTTCAAACAATAAAAATTGGAAAATTTTTCAAAGGATAAAAATTGTAGTAAAAATTACAACAAAATTTTTGTGATCTTAGACCATATAAAGTTATAACCGAAATTACTATTTTTTTTTAATGTTACGTTGTTATTTATTTGTTCAAATATATTTAACTTTATTATAAAATTCTTGTAATTGACAATCTTTTTTATATTATCAAATTTACTATTTCTGTACTGAGAGAAAAAATAACTAAAAAATAAAAAGAAATATTTCGGTGGATATTATAATAATATATTTATTTAAATCTAGATTTTTTCGTTGAAATGGATTAAATAATTATTTTCATGCAAACTTTTAAGAAAATATATATTTTCATGTTGGAAAAATATTTCGCATTAAGTAAATATATTAGTACCCATAGCGAATTAATATTTTTCATTTCATAAATATTTTTTCTCTTAATATATAATAATTTATACTACAGTTTCAATATAATCTAGCTGTATAAAAAAACATTGTAAAGATAAATATAATTTTAATGTAATTACTTTAATGTAATTAATTTTTACTACAATATTTTCTCCGTGTATAAGTTAAAATCAAAATAAATTGGCTTATTGTCAATATTGTCAAATATTGAAGTCGGATAATTTCTAAGATATATATAATTAAAAGTTCAGAAATATTTTCAAAAAATGGTAATTTTTCGAGATCTATTAACACGATTTTTATTTGATCTCGAGCACTTCATCTCAACGAAACTTTAATGTAGAAGATAAATCCGAAAATGCTCCAGCTTGAATCGATCAACTTTCGCCAAAAAAGGTAATTGGCTGTAAATCTATCAACGAATCTATAAACATAAAGGGGTGTGTATATTTCTTACTCATACACCCTGTATACATATTTCTCACGTGGTGAAAGGCACACCTCCATAAATCTTAGAGTCGTTGGCCGATAAAGAGTAAACGATACTCGCGAGTACGATTAAATCTCGTACGGTTGTGAGGCACGTATACATAAGAATAAAAATCAAAGAATACTGACATCACTGGACGATCTCTCTCCGCGGTGTGTCTTTCGATCCGCCGAAGCACGAGCGCGTATCGCGTGCACGATTGTGTGCATGCGCCGAACTGCTATCGCCGCGAAATAGCACGCTGAATGCGGATCCCTCCAGGTGTTGCAAGAAATGATTACCGGCAAAGATTTATGGCGCGAGGTGGCGAATTTTTATTTCTCTTCATGGCTGCGCGTACACGCGATATGTATTGTATATGTGAGTGCGCGCATGCGCGCACGAGCACTCTTCGCGGCAAATTTCGCTCAGCAGCACTGTTCCGTCAGTCGCAACAAGTTCCGAAATCATATTACGATGAATAATGGGCGATTTATCACCGCTGCGCATTCCGCCGTTGTTTTTACGTAGCGTCGCGATGCAACGCATGTGCGTCGCGTTCGTTCTTTTCCTCGCGGAGAAGTTACGTGTCGGTTTGTGAGGAAAAATAAAGGAAAGAAGAGTCTAATGTATCGAACGACTTGTTGTATTCTCGCGAATATCGCGACGAGCGTGGCAATCGCGAAATTTCACAATTGCGCCGTGAATAAGGGAACGAGCGATATCAAGCGTATATGAAATTGTCAGTCGACCACACTAGCGACCTTTGCGCATTACCAGAGACTGTTTCCTCGGTTGGACTCCGCCTGCATCGAGCTTGTATGCGTTCTGCGTTTATCACCCACTAAAAAAAACGAGCTCACCTATGTATCATGAGGCAGAGCGCAATGCGGAAAATCGCGTCCTGGACGCGACGTGTTCAATTTCGAGTCCCGCGTTGGTTTTGCGAAATAATAGACCGTATTTACATCCGCGTGTGTATATTGAATGCGCGTCACAAGCCCCGCTTTCGACCTTTGCTGTACCTTTGGCGCAAAATTTTCATACAATCGTCTGAATTAGCCTCTTGTCTGCGACTGGAACGTCGAGCTATCTTACTCCCGTTCTCATTTCTTTATGCTCTTGCTCTTATAATGGACAACAATGGGTGTCGCTAACCCTACAGGAAATTAGAGAATTGTCGAGGAAATAAGAAATTCGCCGGATTCGTCGCCGTGATATGTCGAAGAACGCGCGGGTCAACAAATGAGGTCGATAAACGAAGCAGCACGTTGGAAAATTTCAAATCGAATCGAACTTTCCTACCGAAGTTCCCATCGTAAAATCGCGCGTTCCTCGACAAAACCACGAAATTGATTTTTTTCTGTATCGCGATATTTTATCGCATATTATTTTTGTGATACTGTGAAAATATAGTATGCAGAATGTAACGGGGCGCGTTATGAAAACGTCGGGGTGAAAATGCATACTCGCGAAGCTCCTAGTAATATTTTTGAAGGGTGCTCGCGCCCAAAATTCCTGAAAACATCTTGCGCGTGCGCTCGACGAGAGCGTTATCATTAATCTCGGCGTTACACGCCCGCGAAAGGAAGAATTTCACCCCTTCCATCCCTTGCTGCTATGTCCCCGTCACTGCAAACTAGATTTGCACGATTTACGCATTTACTCGCGACGGGAATACTGGGTCCTCAAAGTGCCTCTAATCATGGAAATTAATTACTGCAAAAAGTTGCAAACGGAAGTTTGCCGAAGCCCTTGCCACACATTAAAGGCCATCGCTACGCGACAACTTTCGCTACACCCATTTCAACGATAAAGAAGAAC